ACAAGCACAACTTAGTGTCCCACAAGTGGGATAGGGATATAAAGGCTCCCGAGTTACAAGGTCGATGCATGAAGGAACTTGTTGCAAGGAACGGATGGTGATCGGCGGTCGACTGTGGTCAGCTGTAGTTGACATGGTCGACGATGTTTGACAGCAGTATAAGTGCTTGACTTCAACATCTCAAAGCTTCAAGCTTTTCCGCAGTCCTCAAACTCTCCTCCTCAGGTCCTCATCCATGAGAGGGGTGAGGCTCTATTTATAGAGTTCCGATTGCAATTAATAAAGGAATATAAATTACTTTAATTGAACAACTTAGAAGACTTCATCTGATCTGACTGCATTTGATGAATATTTAAGTGTCTTAATGGTGTTGAAATTGAGTGATATTGGGCTTGTTGGATTAGTCTTATTGAGATACTCGATTTGACCATAAATTCGCCAGATTCAACAATCGTTTAACCTTCCAAATATGTCCTAAAAGCTTTCAAAAGTGGTATAATAGTTTGATCGAGGCTCGATTTGGTTCAGATTGGATCAATATTGGTTGCATTGGGTCCGTGTTATGGAGTTGATCAGTTTGTCTTTAAGTTTGCTGAAAATAAAGTTCTTGATGACTCTTAATTAAAATTTGAATTTTTCTTGCTGAAAAGCTTACCTCAAGATCCGTCTCATGTTTTGAGATTCGTGCTAGGTTATGGAGATTTGTTGGAGAAGAATTAAACTTAAAGAATTCAAGAAATAAAAAAAAAACTTTCAAGGGCGAGAATTCAACCAACTTAATGGACAGTGGTGGTGTAAAAGGTGAATTTTATATTCTCGTGTCTCTCCACATCTCCTTTAAATTTCTTATTTGTTGGTATCCAAATGGATAGACTTCTCATTCGGTGGATCCAAATGTCAAATGTCTTTTTCCCGCGAAGGCTATTTATTATTGTAAAGTAGAATGATTTCTACCAAAACATACATAAAATTCTCCTCAAAACCTTCATTTTTGTCTTATTTGATAAAAATGAACTTTGCAACATGCATTAAAAAACATGATTCTCATCATCTAGTGATATGTTTTTTTCTTTTCTTTGGAGCTGAATGAATGCTTCCATCTTATTTGATTTCAATGAGAAACCTTCATTAATCCTAATTTCAAAATTAACATCAACCCTTAGCTGTCCATAGTATAATAGTGTCAAATAAAAATTTCCTCTCAAGATCTAAGAAAATATGGAAAATTTCTTTAGGGCCATTTACATGCATGCTGCCTAATTCCTATGTATTTACATATCCGACGCCTAAACTTTAATTTTTACATGCATACTAATTTATACATGTGTGAAAATGTATTTTACCTTTTTTTTTTTTTTGTTCAAATGATAATATTTTTAGCGTGTCATGAAAAGCTTGGTTGTTATAGATATAGAAAGTAAAATTTATGTGTTAAATGATAGAATGGGAAATGCAAGAAAGCTAAAGCAAGAAAAGTTAAATCGGAAAGATGAAACACATATCAAAGGTTTAAGGATTCTTTTATTGTTTCATCAAAACACTTACACCATACAAATCTTCTATTTGTAGTGAGGAGTAGAAAATTCCAAATTATATCATTAGCTTACTGCCACCTTGAGGTAGTTATGATACGGTAAGTTATTCCTTGCAGGAATCACATGAAGCGGCGATCCTCCTCTGTTGTGGTGACCTGTAGGTGGTTATGATTAATACCCCCTTCAAGCTGATGAGTCTTGCTAATGTCTCTAAGGTTGGATTTGAGGAGGTTGAAGCGTTGCTTCTTCAAGGACTTGGTGAGGATATCTGCTGGTTGATCCTGGGTGTGAATGTAGTGTAGTTAGAGAGTGTCAGGCTGAAGATGTTCATGAAAAACATGATAGTCAATCTCCATATGTTTAGTGCACGCATGGAATACTAGACTATTTGTAATGGTTATTACAGAGACATTGTCATATAATAGATTTGAGGGACACTCTTGCATAACACCCAATTCAACAATTCGTCTTCGGAACCATATAAGATTAGTTGTGACAACTGATAATGCTCTATATTCAGTTTCAGTTGACGAGCAAGCGACAATGGTGTATTTCTTGATCGTTCTCGAGATAAGGGTATCACCTAAAAATATGCAGAAGTCGGTAATCAATTTCTTGTCGGACAAATCGATGGCACAATCAGTATAGAAAATAAGTTTGAAGCGAAAGGGGAACACGAGATATGTAAAAACATGAATCAATTGTACCCTTTAAGTACCACAATAGTCTTTTGAGGACCTGATTGTGATATGTTGAAGGTTGAACACAATGTTGGTCGAGTGATTTTAAGTGTTGAAGAGCACCGGTGATTCTTCGACATTCGGTTGGGTTGGCAAGTGGTTCATCCTTGACAAAAATATTGTACCTTTTAACTGGTATATGAGTGGACCAATTTATAATCCATCATGTCTGTGTTGTAAGGAATTCATGTTAAATATTGTTGTCAATTTAGAAGCATCTAGTCCCTAATGCTATGAACCTAAATGCCCAAAATTTTGGGGACTTAACCAAGATGTTTAATTTGGAATTGGCAAGACAATGAAGGGGATTGGGAGATGTGAGATTTGAAGGAAAGTGTTCTGATGAAAGATCACATACCTAAAGATCATGATAGTGGCAGACACTGGGTTGTGACATTCCATGTTGAGGAATAATAATGAAAGAAACATGAAGTTGTGCATGGGGTCAATTTGTGACGTGGCGTATGTTTGAGCCAGGGATAGCAACAACACCCAAAAATGATGGGGTGAGAGTAGGTTGGTGGATGATTGTAGATTCGTTCATATAGAGATAAGTAATGATTAGTAGTTTCAGAGAACATTCGATTAATTTAGTACAGGGTTGTGAGGAGGGCATCTACCAAGAATTTTAAGGGAACCAAGTCATCATGAAGAAGTTTGAGTGGTCTCAATGAGGTGGTGGTACTTTTTCTCGACAACACTGTTTTGTTCCGCAGTGTAACGACATGTCGTTATGAGAGAGAAATTCTCAGAGATTAATAATATTGTATTCTCCTCCACCATTAGAGGGAAGCATTCAAATGAATGTTTGGAATTCTCTTTTGATATTTTTTTATGAATCTTATACATATTTGGATTGTTTTAGATTTATATCGCATCAGAATAACCAAATAAATTTAGAATGATCATCAATAAAGAGAACATAGTAATGATAACCTTGATTAGATAAAATTGGGGATGGAACCCATACATCTAAATGTATCGATTGGAAAGGTAAATACAAATGCTAAGAAGCTTAAGGAAATGGTAATTTGTGACTTTTGTTGTAGTTACAACTTTCACACATTGATTATTTGTTTGGGATATCAAGAGAAGGATTAGCCTTGGGAATGCATTGAAGTAAGTCTGGGTGGGGATGATTGAGACGCTTGTGTCATGTGTTGGATGCTTGAGTGGATGTGTTAAGAGCATTAAAAGGCACAATTGAAGGTTGAGTAGATATTTGTAAATGCTTGGCACCCGAAGTAATATGTTCTATTGAAACTGAGTTGAGGAATCACGTAGAGGCTTGTAGGGCTTGGTTGGATGTATGTACTCCAAGTTTTGGTGATGCCAAAAAGCAGTGACAGAGTGGCCCCTCTTGTTTTGGATTTGGTAAATGACAAAGGGAGTGGATTGGAAGAGTCGGCCTTTCATGCGGGTATTGGACTGATATCAATTTCTTCCCCGACGACGATAAGTATTTTCATTGCAACCTCTAGTTGTTGCAAGTGTCAATTGAGGATTGGGAGTTTGGTCCAACTTGAGTGTGTCAGTTTCTTGATTAACTTCTTAGCCACACAACAGGGAGTAGAAGTCATCTAAATTCATGGGCTATAATTGGGTGTGTATTGCTGTTTTGAAGGATTGATAGGTTGTCGCAGACCATGAGTATGTGTAAGATGATATCCTCTTTATCTAATTGACCCGCAGTGGCCAAAATGTTATCAACTACCATCTTAACCTTTTCTAGGCATTGAGTTATGGATTTATTTTTCATAAATTTGTTATGTAACTCATTTTTAGCTGAATCAAACAAGATCCATTTGATTGGTTGTAGCTGCTTTGAGGTTGTACCCCATACTTTTGCTTTTGTGGATATATGCAAAATATATGGTATAACGGATGATGAGATGATGAAGTAGAGAGTTGTTGTCAGATTTTGATCTATAAGAGTCTACATTATGTAGATAGGATTAAGTCATTGGTGAAGGTAAGAAAGAAATTTTTTAGAACTTGTGCTTTCCATAGTGGATTATTTTCGTCAAAATGTTGTGTGTGAGCAATATTTTTGGGCTTGCTCATGAGAAATTTGAGGATGAGAGGGATATCAACAGTTTCCACGGGGAAGTTGTTTTTGGTTTCAGATAGTTGTGAGGTCGCCATTATTTGGATTGGCGCCAATTGGGAGAAAAAAATAGAGCAAGATAGAGTATACTCCATGGGGAAGGATCGAAACTCTTGTATACTAGAGCTTTTGCTTTGAAACCCTAATCCTCTATATATAGTGAGAAGTAGAAAATTATAAATTAAATCATTTCCTTCCTATGCCACCTGGAGGTAGTTATGATACCCTATCCGCCGTCACTCGTAGGCCGTAGGTGATTATGAAATTTTAAAGTTAAAATTTATATGTTAGATATGTAAATACATATAAATTGGGTGGTTTTCATGTAAATTTCCAATAAAATTTTTTTGTTAGGTGTATTTAATAATCTCATAGGATATTTTGAGTTAAGTGCCCGTTTGGGGCAGCTTATAGGCTGCGACGGCGTTTTCAAAACACCGCCTCCCTCTTTGAATATCGCGGTCGGGGCTAACTTTTTAGCATCGCGCATTTTTCTATCGTTGTTTTCTTCGTGGTCTCGCAAGCTGTTTGCCCCCTGAGTCTCGTGTATCAATAGGAAAAAATCTATGTGCTGCCCTTCGCATATCTCGCTCGCCGCCTCGCTTCGCTCCCACGCCCTCACCTGGCAGATCCTTTGGCTCGTCGATCCTCTCTTTCGCTGAGATGGCCTGTCAGATCCCTCGGCTCGCCGATCCTCCCCTCTCCTTCGCTCTCCTTTGCTGAGATCGCCCGCTCGCTGGTCCTCTCATTCGCTCTCCTTTGCTGAGATCGCGCGAGATATACCCGATATCCCTTTCCTTCTTTTCCGCGAGCAAATATTGAAAGTGTCTCAGATAGAAACTAAACATTGAATGAACAGATAAATCTGCAAAAGATGGCCTAAATAAGATCCTGTTGCTATGTAATGTTAAGAGGTTGAAATAAGAACAATGAAACAAACCTTCAACGCATTCTGAACACCAACAACGTCTTCGAATTCTACAAATGCATAGCAAAATCCACCATCCTGCATATAAAAAAAATAATAAGTAAATTAGCGATTTCTGAAATTAGAATATTAATGCATTAAGGATCAAAGCTGGTTAATTTACCTAACGACTCCTGAGAGTAACACCATCAAGCGTTATTCTACCAAACTTTCTGAACTCTTGCTCAAGGTCAGATGATGAAATATTTGGTGGAATGTTTCCCACATAAACAGATTTTGAATCACCTGCAGAAAGAAAGAAATCTAAGGTCAGTACTCACTGGATTAAGGCTTATTTGCATTTGTTAATCTAGCTAATTGAACAAATTTGAGCATGACCTTGCCTTTGAAAAGGAGCCCGTGTAAAAGGCTTTGATAATGCGTCTATATAATTCAATGCAAAAATTCATAGGAAATGCAATTCTCTATATTTTATATGGATGTAGGTCAAAGGGCTAAACTAATATGTAATTTTATTTTCTAATTTGATGTACCCAAACTGAAGAAAAGCCTGAATTTGATTTGTTTCTTTATCTCATAATTTAGTACAACTTTCTTCTATAGTTTGTATGCTAAGAAATTTACATCATGTTTATAAATTTTTTTTTGACTTACAAAATTTAAGTTCTTTATAGTGCCAACATGTGTAAGACGAATAAAGGTGGTCCTTCTGCTATGTGGAATAAAGAAGTAACACATATTTTTTGTGATCTATGTATTAAGAAAATAGAACTGGAAAATAGACCAACCACGTATTTTAACAAGGAAGGTTGACAAAATATTACGAAGAGTTTTAAAGAATTGACTGACAGAGATTATAACAGACTAAAATACAAAAACAAATGGGACCAATTGAGGAAGGAATGAAAAAATTGGAAGGAGCTCAAATGTAGATGTACCGGTTTGGGTTGGGATCCCCTTAAGTGGATAATGATGCTCCGGAGGAATGGTGGACAGAGAAATTGGAGGTAGTAAACCCACTTTTATACTTTTATTTTAATTTACATTACTTATTTTTCTCTAATAAACCCACTTAACCCCCTCCACCATTTCAATGTCACAAGCAATGTTGTCAGCAAAGAAATATAAGCAGTGCGAAATTGACCCGGACTTTTAAAGGTCTGTTTGGCGCAGCTGCAGCTTCTCAGCTTTTTGGCGGCTGCAGCTGCGCTACCCCAGGAAGCTGCTGCGGGGAAACTGACTGTATGTTTGGTGCAACTGTGTGAAAACAGCTGTGGGGCAGCTTTTTCTGGAGAAATGACCATCCTGCCCCTGTTCGTTAAAACTGTTTAAAAGAAGACTGTAACAGCATGATACCCTAACCAGCCCTTACTATGTTAAAAAAATACGATTTTTTTAAAGACTAAAAATTTCTTAGAAATAATTATTAACTATTTTTAAAAAAATAAAAATTAAATTTTTAAAAATAATTGTGAACAACAAATTTTAAAAACAAAATAGAAAAAAAATTATAACAATACAAATGATCCCAAACAACCACATGATTATTTTGCCAAGAAACATTCCTACTAGGGTTCATTACAACAAGTGCCTAAGCCTACTTCTCTGAATTCCACTAATAAGCAAGTGAAGATAAAGCAGCTTGAAGGATCTTGATTAGTATAATGCAACACAAAGAAGCTAGCATTCCCAGTACAATGCTTGCAACAGTAAAACCCAGCTGTTGTCCTGCTGTACTCTTCTCATAAAGTGACATTGTGAACCTGCAAAATCTGCTACATTGCATCGCAGAGTAAAGCACACTTCCAAGTGCACTTTTGACTTGAAAACAGTATAGTTATTAATGGATTTGATCAAACAAAGAGGAACCTCAAACGAGAGAGAAGAACATTGATCATTTCAAGAAGCCAATGCCGGCTCCCTTCTGCCATACGGGATCAGATTGACAGAGAAACAACGAAAAGCGAATAGGAATAACTCGAAACAGGGAAAAAGAGGAAAACGAAGTATTTACCTAGGGGAAGCCGGCTAACAACCACGAAGGAGAGAGCGATGTTGAGAATGGGGGAAGATTTTCACGAAATCAGTGGCGCTAGGGCGATAGAGCTCGGTGTCGCCTTCGCAAGATCAGTCGTGCATTGGGGCAGAAGACGAGTTGAGCGGAAATGAATTCGGTCGAGAGAGCTTGCGGGGCAAAGCCGATAATTTTCGGTCCAGAACGCGGGCCGCGGGGTAGAACCCGCGGCCCGGCTTTCCGCCAACTTTCTCGACGCCAGCCCGCCCCCGCGCTCCCAAACGAAAAAAATATGGATATATTTGCGGCCTGGGGCCGCGAAGCGATGAAAAAGATGGGCCAAACATAACCTAAAGGAGGTTTCGCGACAGGAAAATTTGCATTCAACCATAGTGAGATGAGTTTTGCAGGCATACAAGAAGACTTCCCATCTGAGCCATTGACAACTGATGAAGAAGTGCGTAGTAACCAGAGGGAGATGAGGGAGTCCAGTTCACCTTCAAAGAGGCCGGACATGGTATGTGCCCAGACTTGGTAGGAAAAATAAAGAAAATGACACCTTGGTGAAAACCTCATTTGATCGACTCTTAGAAGCTTTTGATGCTCCACCACCTGCTCTTGTCCCTGATAGCACCATCTTTGAATGTCTAGGAACTTTAGCTTCTCTACATGAAGTAGTTGCAGACAGACGTTTTCATGCAAAGTGTGTCAAAAAACTCGAGAATCCAACCCGTAGGAAAATATTCATGGCGCTGCAACCAGAATTGCGCGTCAAATATTTGCATGTTTTGGTCGATGAATGAATTCCTTTTATCTGTTGTTATTTGTATCTTTTTTTATGTTATGGGCATCTAAATGGGTAATTTTAATATGTTGTTATTTATATGGATCTTATTTTTAGTGCACTTCATGTTGCCCTTTCATATGTTTCTCTTTGTATGGATCTTATTTTTAGCGCACTTCATGTTGCTCTTTAATATATTGTTCTTTGTATTTATCTTTTTAATATCTTTTTTTTAGTGTACATTTTCATTTTAATGTGCTTAATGTTTTCCTGAAATAACTGACTTCTTTTGAATTTTAGGATGGATCCGCAGCAGAAACGCCGTAAAAGAATGATATGAGCTGCAGCTATTGCAATATTGTTGCTGTAGTATTATTGATCCAGCAGTGTTCGTATACCACGTATGACTTCGAGTTTTATTGGGGATAAATGACTAGGTGAAATGCTTTCTGGACATCAATAAAGGTTTAACAACATTTTTCGAATGAGTGTACCTATTTTTATGGATCTCCTGACGAGTTATCTCTGAATCGCGGCCTTTAAGGTTCTTCTAGAACGACGAGAAGGGAGGTGTTGACTATAACAATATACAATCTGTCACAGAATGAATCTATTAGAGGTGCTATGGAGAGATTTCAACATTCATCAGAAACAATAAGCTGTTACTTCTCCAGAGGCATACAAACACTTGTTAGCTTGACAGTTTAAATCATTAAACCAGAGGATCCATCATTTGTTAGTACTCCAGGGGAAATTGCCAATGATCCTCATTACATGTCTTATTTCAAGTTAACTATTGGTTTCTTTACGTTATTTCTGAAATTCTGATTTTTTTCTAACGTTGTAAAACAGAACTGCATAGGTGCAATTGACGGTACTCATGTCGATGCCCGACTACCCAGCGAAGACAAGGTGGCGTACATTGGTCGTAGTGGTTTAACTACTCAAACATGTCATGACGATATGTGACTTCAACATGTGTTTCACTTTTGTCATGACGGGTTGGGAATGGAGTGCACATAATAGTCGAATTTTCTCTTATGCAATTAGGAATAGATCACAGTGTTATATGTCCTATGCAGAGGGGCTACCTTAATCCATATCCAGATATTATATACCATATTCCTGATTTTGAGCGAACAAGTGACATCATCTGTGGCAGGAAAGAAATGTTTAACAAACGTCACTTCTCTTTACGCGGGGTAATTGAAAGAACATTCGGGGTTTGGAAGAAGAAATGAGTCAACTTACACGATATGTCGTCGTATCCATTTCAAAAGCAGGTGCATGTTGTGGTGCAACAATGATACTTCATAATTTCATCCGACGACATCCTTCACGTTCAGATTCGGACTTTAGTATGACTAGTAACAATGAACTAAATGTCTTTGAAGAACCATCAGCATTTGTGGTTGGGCCTTCAGTCCATGATGATGAGATTGACTCTAACGAATTTGGGGTTCATGACGCTGAGGGTGTGGCTGAGATGACTACTTTGAGGGAGTCAATCGCAGATGCTATCTATGACAGCTGATCCGCAAAGTCTTCTTTATTTCATATACTATATGTTTATTTTCGTTTGCATGTCTTTTTATTGTTTTTTCAGGACCTAACAAATTTTTTTTTTTGTTTTTGATACTCACGATAATGTGAGCACTGTATGTTATCTTTTGAACTGATCTGTGATAATTTCAGGGTTCTGTACTATATGCTCCTGTTCTCATTTCAGTTCTGTTGCAAACATGTTAACCAAACATGGGCAGAATGATCATTTATCCAACAATAGCTCCCAATAAACTATCTTAAATAACAAGCTAACTTATTCTAATAATCTACAAAATATCAAAATAATCAATTTATTAAAATTATAAATAATAAATAGCTGCCCAAACAAATCAACTCTCGATTTCGATTTTTCTCACGAGCCGAACATGATAATCAAAGGCGGCAACGAGTAATTCACCACGAGCAAATCGGAGTCATCCACGTGAGTAAGCCTACCATCAAGCCGTCCAATGTTGGCACGTGGACTGCGTTACGTTTTAAAGAAGCCTCTTTCCAGATAATTTCTCTACGCTACTCTCTCTCACCTTTCCTCCGGCGAAGATGGAGGTTTCCGGCACGGTGATCCGGCAATCTGTTATTAGTTTCACAAGGGGTGTCGGTGAGACCTTCCCTTTTAGCGATAAGAGTAGGGCTAGGGCTCGCCAGAGGACAGCGGTGGTGGTGAGGCCGTGGTCCGATGACAGACACCGATTGTACTACTCGTCGCCGGTTAGGTGTGGCGCCTCTAGAGATGCAAAAAGGAAGGAGGAGAAGAAGAGGACCGCTTTGGTGACGGAGCTGTCTAGAAATCTGGCGGCGCTTTATTCTACGAGTTTGGGGATGGACGGCGAAGAGATTTCCGGTGATGTCAGGGCCAACATGATAATTGTGAGTTATTTTTCCGTGATCCATTTATTCGATGTATTTTCTTCTGACCAATAGATTGCTTTAGATGAGTAATGTTTTGTGCGGATACTTCCTTTTTGAATTCTAGGTTTATGTGTTTATTAGGCGACGAGATTTGCCTATTTTTATTGAATTGCTATTATAATTCTTGCAAGTTTATTTATTTATTTTTCAATATAGTACTTTTCTGCCAGAAATTGATAGACTAATTATAGATTACTTTCACTTTGGTAGATCCTACTTGTAAAATATCAGAGCTCATGATCAGTTTTTTTTTTTTTTTTTAATTAGTTATTATATGTTTATTAGTTAGAATGAAATGGGAGAAGATGCTTTGATTGTTGACGACATTTTGTTTTCAGTCTAGGAACAATTAATCTCATTTCATCCTATTTGTTGTAGAATAGTTGAGGATATTTAACTAACAATGAGCTAAGGTGATGTGGGATGCTGAAGGATGGTCATAGGCTTAAAAATTTTCCTTATATGTTTATGCTATATAAACTTTCTGATTGATCCAATTTTGCTGTAAGCTTTTGTGTTTTTGTAGTTTTTTGTTTTATTTTAATGGTTAGAAACTGTAAGTGATATTATGGACTTCATTGGCGAGTCCAATGTTTATCTTCTTCCTATGTTCTATCCTATGATTTGCTATGTTCTTTTGGTCTTAAGTACTCTTTGGCAAGTCCATGCTCACCAGCGCTTGAAGGATATCACATTCAAAGTTTTGGATGATATCAAAACCTTACAAGCTCGATCAAAACGAGCAAGATGAATGATTGGAGAAAATAGATAGAATATAGAGAGCATATACTGACTTCATTAGATTGCAAAAAATGGATTTGAGTACAATTGATCTCTCTCACTTCTGCGGCCTACCCTGATGGATTTCTTATTTGCATGTTTGGATCAGGGTTCAACACTGTATGAAAGGCTACATATTGAGCTATGTTGATTAGAAAAATACAAAGGAAAGCTGGTAGTTGATTGCTATAAATATATATGAGACATATAGATTGGTTACATGTAGGGCATATATTGACTGATTTGATTGAACTCTTAATTAAATTAAATCATTAACTTACTGGACAAGGTTGTTGATTTTATGAGAGGAAGTCACTGTGATATTAGAGTCAACGTAAACCATTATAGGAAATGCAAATTTTACTATTGCAAACAAATAGACCAAATAAATCTGAAAGGGAAAAAATATAACAACACAACACCCGAAAATTTGAAATAACAACAGACACAACATAAACACTTAACTGGGGTGGTGGTGGCGGTGATTGATTGGGGCTTCGAAAAGTATTAGCATGGGGTGGGTGGATTGGGCTGCGAAGAAACAATGGCTAGGGGCGGTTATGGGCGGCGGGAACAACATATAGGCTACAGGGAGGCGGTTCCGGCAGGCAGCTCGAGAAATGACCTTGGACAGTTGAAACGACAATGACAATGTCGGTATAGTGTTGGAACAACAGTGAGGTCGTAGGGATGTTGTTCAAGTGGCTGAAACAATAATGGAATGCAAGATGAGGACCTTATGGGGTTGCAGCAATGAGACAAAAGGTTGGGAGAAGGTGGGAGGAAAGTTGCGGTGGGCTGGAATAACATTGGACAACAAGGCGAGCGGTTTACGGGGTTGCATTAGCGGGCATATGGGTGAGAGAAGATGGAGGGAAGGTTGTAAGGGGTTGGGACAACAACAGAAGTGTCAGATGAATGATTCTCTGCGGTTGGCATTGAGCAGGTGATAATTGGGAGATTAGGAACTGCAGAAAGACAACTGAAAGGTTGTCTGGGCGGCTGCAATGGGGAGTAATCTGTGCCAGCAAAGCGGGAGAGAAGCAGAGGAGTTGGAGAATAATAGCACCACCTCAAGGGCAATATACAATTGAAGCACCACTTGACCCTTGGAGGAGAGTTATCACCTTAGAATGAGATACAACTAGAGTACCATTCTCCCTTGGATACAACTCTAAAAGGGATAAACTAGGCGCTAATGGTTGTCCTGATAGAAAACATGAAAAAAGGCTGACCTAAAACCCAAAAATAACATATTTATAGATTTAGGGTAAATAGGAGTTGACCTCTTTCTAAATAGGAGGAAAATCCATATGAAGGAAATGCCAATCGACCCTCCTGGATGGTTCCAAGTCGCAAACTCTTACGGCGTTGTAGCAAGGATTGCAAACAGATCCTTGCGGTAATGTAGCTCAAATCAGGACACTGTAGCAGAACACACAAAAGGTGTTGGGGTCCCTGTGACGACTCCCACTTCACATTGACTTGCTCGAATGATGTTGGTGAATAACTTTTGAGCTTGGATGATTCTGCCTTGATAGGCCTTGGATTATATACTGTCGAGCTCAAGTTCATAACAAGTTGACTAGTTCATGGTGGCCATACATGTTCATGATGATGAGTTCATGAAGATTCTGGTGAGATCATGACGATCTTGGCGAGTTCACCATCTTTCATTTTTGGTTTTTAAGTGTTTCCATTCATTGGCCTATAGGCATCAGTGAATGTGACAGGCACTACCTCTGGAATTAGAGCTTATGATTTTGATGTTCAGCTCGCATCTTGTGACTAAAATTGCTCAAGGCTAGCTCGTTGAGAAGCTTTTGTTGATGTCCCTAAAAAATTGACGGGCACCATCTTGACTATGAATTGCTTGTGTTGGGATGCGTTCATTCTTTTTCTCTTTCTATAGGCGCTTTCTTTCGTCTCATCCGTAGGTCGGCTAAAACAAAGTTTTCAATTTTTTTGTTCAATCAATTTAACTAGATTTTGGAGGCGTCAACAATCCTTCATGTCATATTCATAATTCTTATGGAAAGAAAAATAATTTGACTGATCTTTAACATGGGGTTCATTGCATTTGTGTGCAGTTTGTTTGAAGAAATCCATGTTTAAATGGCTTCTACAAATTCATCTTTTAAAGCTAACAATAGGGTAATGGCTGAATACTGGTGAGTAGGATGCAACCTCTCCCTTCATCTAACATTAGAATGATTTTAATTTCTTGATCACTCTTTAGAGTGTTGTGGTCGCTGATGACGGAATGTTATTGATGATGGTAATGTGGTTTCTCCTTGGCTTCCAAGTTTTTTGGGTGACATCAATGGTCATCAGGAAATTGTCGAGAATTATTTAACATGTTAAAATTTTTTGGCCTACTTGAGGTTCAAGTGTCTGCTTCACAATTATAAACTTTTTTTGTTGTTGTGGCAATTATACTGCTTCTCATTGATGTGCCTATTAATTAGTTTCATCAACTCAATCAAAGTCCTAGGCTATCGCAGTTTGAGGGCACAACATACCTCTCTTAGATTTTTAGTGAGAGCAATTTAAGCTATAGTATGCTCAGAATCTTTAACATTCATCATATTATTTTGAAACCTTATGATGAATCATCAATGATTCATTTGATTCTTGCCTCATTTTCAACAAGGCTTACAAACTCTTTAATGACCTTTGTGTGGTGGGAAATTGATTTATAAACAACTTAACTTAGAAAATGAGGTGATTGTTCCCAATGGTGGACAAAAGAATTGCGTAAAGGGCGATTCTTTAAAGTTTTGAAGAATAGCATTTACCGCAGAGCATAATTAATACCTGACAAAGAGACAACTGACCTTAAATAAGTGCATGATCTATTGGATTTGGCTTCCACTTGTAGGAGGGATTTTTAAATTTGTAGGAGGTTTTTGCTTTAAATTTCCTTTGAGGATGCACTCATAAATTGGTGTTTTTATTTCTCCACTAACTTCTCTATTTAGCAAGGCGGGGGAGTAGATTCTTTATTATTATTGGGGCATTCTGTCATGTCAACACTGGCGTCGAAGTTAAAGCTGTTGAAGTCATTCGAATTATTATGTTCGAAGATTTTGCTAGGCATCTCTTTTCTTGGAATAGCTTTGGAAACTTGTCTTAGAATTCCTTGAACTATCCTACTTATTCTTTTTCCATCTCCATTAATTGTCTTCTTATGATGAAGTATTGAATCTTCATGTTAACTGGAACATCTCTATTTTGCTCTTCTATTTTTTTAAAGTGTGATATAAGTTCATAGTCGTTGCACTTTAGAGGATGTTAGATTTAAAATTTTTTGTTGATGATATCATAATCTTGTCGGCACAGTCAACAAGAGAAAGAACAAATATTATAGAGAGAGAATCTAGAGTGAAAAACTATGAGCTTTCACCGGATCTTGAAAAATACGGTTAGTACAAATGATGACTCTCCCCTTTGAATTCCATATTTTTCCTTTTATTTATAGGTTTATACCAGGTTTAAGAGCTTTAGAAAATGCTACTTATTGTGCTATTTAGAAAAAAAAAAACAAGATTTAATAGTTTTTTGCCATGATTTAATAGTTTTTTGCCATAAAATATATAAAACATATAACTTGATATTTAGAGCGCATTTTGAATATTTCTACTTAAATTCTTATTAAATGAAGCTATTATTAGCCTATCTATCAAATTTGTTGACTTGACTAGAGAAAGTCTTATATTTGCTTGAATGAAAGCCGATGATAACTTTTGAGCTTGGGTGGGTATGCCTAGATAAACCTTGAATTAAATATAGTTTGGCTTAGTTTATGACAGTCTTAACGAGTTCATGATGATTCTAGCTAGTTCACCATTTTTGTCGATTTGGGTGGGTATGCCTGGATAAACCTTGAATTAAATATAGTTTGGCTTAGTTTATGACGGTCTTAACGAGTTCATGATGATTCTAGCTAGTTCACCATTTTTGTCGTTTTGACTTGATCACATTACGATTTAACACTGTCATTGCTGGTCCCAAGCCCGAATGCGAAAAGTGCAGGGTTGCGTTAGGTAGTCGATAGCCAACGTAAAACTTGTCGAAAAAAAATCATTACATGAATCCTTTTGATCATTGTGTAAGTGCTAGGGCGTCCCCTGGAAGCGACGCTCTGTATAGCCTGAATACAGTGAAAAGTGTGCAAG